CACACACACACACACACACACACACACACGCACACACACACACACGCACACACACACACACGCACACACACACGCACACACAGGTCATTTTCAGCCGGATCAGCTCTGTGATCAGAGATGTTATCTGTTTGCAGAGAGAGAGAGAGAGAGAGAGAGAGAGAGAGGTAAAGGCTCTGTGTCAGTGTATCGCTGTAGAATCAGGCGGTAACCATGGTGACGAGGAGCAGGTTTACACTGGAAAAGGCTTAGATAGATAACAACGAGCTCATCCATCTGTATTATTATTGAATGGGAGAGGATTACTTTCTGTCTGCGTCAGTAAACATCAGCAGCAGCTGAAACAAAGTAGTTTCATGAGTTTGTACCGAAGAAAATTAACACACGTTATTGTTTTTGTACGAACAGGAAATGATCCAGTGATCAAACTGCTTTTTAATTTCACTGACTTTATTGATGGTAGTGCTGCTGTCGGTGTACTGCTTTGGTCCAGACTCAGAACATCTTAACAACTATCAGATGGATGACCATGACATGTTGTAACGAGATTCATGGTCCTCAGAGGATCAATCCTACTTACTTTGGGAATCCTCAGACTTTCGCTCTAGCGCCACCATGAGGTTGACGTCTTTGAATTTTAGTAAAATATCTCAATGAGTATTTGATTTATTGCCATAAAATTTGATTCAGACGTTCGTGTTCCCCTGAGGATGAACTCCAACAACCTTGCTGATCCTCTTTTTCATGAGGTCAAACTTTTCATTGTCCAATTCTTTGTTTTATGACCAAATACCTGCAAAACCAAAACCATTCCCATCAGCCTCAGCTGGACTTTGTGTTTACTGCTAATAAGCAAATGTTAGCATGCTAACACACTTAACTATGGTTGTGGCCGTTTTAAGCATTGTACCTGCTAATCCTGCTTTTGGTTACAGTTACACAGTTACATGTTCACTGTTTGAATTAGAGTTAAAAAAAAAACCCTTTCCACATCCTGTTCAAACGACCCAATTTAATTAAAACAGACTGAAAAAATCGTTGGAAATGCACGTAGCGTTAGCTTTGTCATTGTGCACATGTCAACCTACAGGCCAGACCTGCAGACCTGCTGTGTTCACCGCTGAGTGACTGATCTCGTGAAACACAGTCTGCGTTTGGTTCTGCGTGTGAAACACTGACCTGGTCTCTGTCCGTCACAGTGAGCCGGCTTTTTAAAAACAATGACCCGTCAGAGGAGGAGACACAGACACAAGGTGCTGCAGGCTCAAAGTGTCCAGATGGCAGAGAGACAGAAAGACATTTACAGAGAGGAGGAGGAAGAAAAGGATGAAGAGTGGGGGGGGGGGGGGGGGGGGGGGGGGGGGGGGGGCGCAGCAGCTTGTGAAATGATTTGACCTAGAAGATAAAACTGTGGAGATAAAACTATTTGCCCTTCATTATCTCCCCTCATCTCTCTCTCTCTCTCTCTCTCTCTCTCTCTCTCTCTCTCTCTCTCTCTGTGCAGCAGAGGGACTGAACGTCACTCAGGATTATCTGGGGTCAAACAAACAAACTCATCACTGAGTCTTTATTCTTGTTTGTTCTCAGGTTTTTCTCTGTTCTGTAAATTCAGGACGCCTCCCTGAAAAGTCTCATGAACTTCCTACCTGAACCTGAGGTGATGAGAAACACCTGCAGGTCCATGTCCTCACTCTCTCTCCTCCTGCTACCAAAAACACATTTCCCTTCTGACCCAACTGTATCAAGCCATAAACACGATTTTATTTTGAAGGTTTCACTTTCATCATACAGTTTCACTATCCAAAAAAGAAATTCTAAAATATTCAACGGAAAATTGCCAAAGTTTGTTTTCGAATTAGACAAGTCAGGACAAAATTTATAAAAATAAGTTCCAACTGGATATTGAGAAATTAAGATTTATGATTAAATGTCTTTGATTAAAAAACCTTTTTCCTTATGAACATTTTTAGAATATAAATTTATTCTGAAAAAAAGTCATAGAGAGGTTTTAGTTTAAAATGTCTTTATGTAGGAAAACACTGGATGAAGTGTTTGAAAACCAAAACCATCACATCCACAGCCTGCAGAGACTCTGTAGCTCCCCCTGTGGCCACTCCCAGGAACTACACAGATACAAGCTGTGTATGTAGAAAATAGGACACTGAGGAGGTGTGTGTGTGTGTGTGTGTGTGTGTGTGTGTGTGTGTGTCTCGGAGACTGTCGTCATTTACACTTTACTGAATCTGATTCTGCTTCATGATTCCAGTTTCTGAGTTCTTATCCTTGTCTTGGTGTCAGTGTAGTTTGTAGTGTATGTTCGACACACAGCAACCTCTCTCTCCGGCCGGGTGGTGTAAGGTTTATCTGATTGTGTGTGTGATCACATAGATGAATGTCTCGTCAATCAGCTGTGTGTGTGTGTGTGTGTGTGTGTTCAGGCTGTTATAACGCAGCGGTGAACTCTTGTCCACATGACCGCTCCTGTGACAAAGCGCTGAGCTCTGACTGCATGAGTGCACGTCAATGTTCGAGCTTACATAAGCTTCCTACATCTTTCATGGCAGAACGGCTTTTTTTTTTTTTTTTTTTCTGTGTCAGTGAATATACAGGACGTTAGTTAGTGTGTCCACGTCCACGCTTTCCTCTGTTACTCTGGTTTTAATGGAGGTTCTCTGCATCCAGCTGCTGCTCACACAGAGACGTCTCAACACAGAGTCTCAAGCAGGATTTCATGTTTAGTTCTTTATGTCTCAGTTTTCTCAGGTTTTCTAGGATCTGAAAAAAAAAACAACTGATATTCGTTTCCTTTCAAATTAAAACTTGTGATAATGTTCCTCTTCTTTTATTTTATCATGAATCACTGATGATGTGGTGATTTGGTTTTGACATTAAATCAAATTCAGTTGAAAAGTGAATGTTTAATAAATGACCAGATTATATTTGTAACTATAAATAATATAACTACTATACTTCAGTGTAAAGCGTGTCCCAACTACACATTCAAACACTCTTATGAAACAATGCTAATATAACCTCTAGATGTGTGATAACACACGCTGAGTTTTTACCTGGCACCTGTTAGCTTTAGCTTCAGTGTGTTAGCATAGCATGATATCATGTGTGGAGCCATCTAGGGAACATTTAAGACCCTTTTACAGGATTGTGGTTTTAAAACACATCAGCTGGAAACAAAAAGTCAGTCAACTAACAGAGCTAACATTGATTAGCCAACTAGCTATAGCTGTTAAAATCAATTCCTCTAATGGCCACTAGAGTCTGGCTCCAACAGTGAGTCAGTCCCCATAGACTCCCATGTTAAAATGTCCAACTTTACAGCAGAAATAAACATGTTTACAGCCTGGTACAAAAACTGTTCTGGTCTCTAGAGATAATTTCCTCCTTCATGACACCTGTTTATATAACTCACCTGTTTACATTTTATTAAGGACTAAGGTTATGGAGGATTGGGGGCGTGGCCTCTCTGAGTGACAGGTGGGTGAGCGTACGCTTGCCACAAACAGACATACACCAACGTCTCAGCTCCACACACTCCCCTCCTCTTTGCTCATTTTTGGATTAGCTGGGAGTTAGGAGGCGGAGTCAGACACTGCCAAGGTGGTGACAGTGGAGCAGCTCACTCTGAGCTTCAAAACCTGTGGGTGACGTCACAGAGGCTGTGTCCATCTTTATTTACACTCTGAGGCTAAGAATTAGAGGTCACTTTGGTCTGCTTCTGAAATGAAGGAGCCATTTGATTGGTTATTTCCTGATGTGAACTCGTAGTATTTGAGCTCCTGACATCAGACAGGTGTTGAAGAGGTCCTGATTTCTCACCTGATCCTTTTCTCCTCAGATATCATGAATCGTCTCCGCCTGAGAGACGCTATGAGACTCATATGTTTCAGACTGTAACCAAGTCACTGTGTCCATGTGAATGTTTCAGTCTAACCTTACCTGTCCTGTTGTTGTTGTCGCTGTTGTTGTTGTTGTTGTGTTGCAGTGTTCCTGCGGAGCCACAAGAGTCTGGAGTCTGTGGATCCTCAGTTCACCATGAGAAGGAAGATGGAGCAGCTCAGAGAGGAACTGGAGCTGATGGAGCAGCTCAGAGACGTGAGACACACACTGATTACTACTGATCATTACATTTACAGCAGCTGTAAACATCCACTCACTTCTTTACTACACACTGGCCTTTTAAGTGTGCGTCCTTTGTGCAGTTTGATGTAAACATTTAAAAAGAAAACCCAACAAAACAGGACTGGACCGGTCTTAAATGTTGGAGAGAGACTTGGCTGCTGCCCCCAATAAAACACAGACTCTTGCAGACGTCGCCACTGGATCCGGCTTTAGTGTTCAGTCCTCTCTGTCCTGCCGGACTCAGGCAGGGACTCTGTTGTCGAGTCGTGACCTTTAGCTCCAGGTGGTGGAGTGCTCTTGGGAAATGGTGATTGTGAACCGCTGCTAAAAACAGAAAAGCCACACAACAAACGCTCTCCATTCAGACTTTTGCATAATTTCCTGTTGGAAGAAAACAGTACAGTACAATAATGTATTAAATACTAACTGTAAAGAACCTGTGCACTATGAGAGTATGTTTGGTGCACAGTATAGCAGCGTATACAGATTCTGCAGACTGACTTCCTGGTTCAGCCTTAAGACGAGCCTTCTGTTTGTGTTGCTGTTGGTTCCTCAGAGCATCGAGAGCAGACTGAAGGTCGCACTTCCCGAGGACCTCGGCTCGTCTCTGATGGACGGCGTCGTGCTCTGCCATCTGGCCAATCACATTCGCCCGCGCTCTGTCGGCAGCATCCACGTCCCCTCACCTGCAGTGGTACGTCTGACAGGAATCTGTTTTTATTCATTATCTCAGCTTCTCTCTGATAGAGTTTGTAAAAGTGGTGACAATGGAACTGGAGGTGAGTTTGTTTTGCAGTAAAAAAGTATTTTTCTGTTGTTAAAGCAGCAGACAAGTCAAGGTTATGATAGCTTTGGATTTTTCATTGGTTTTTATTTTTTATTTTGTGTTTTCAGTTACAGTTTTTATTAGTTTCAATGTTAGTTTTAATGTTTTTGTAATATGTGGTATTTGTTGGAGCAAGATTCAAAAAGGTCAGAAAAACCGTTAAAAAATGTTTTCAGTGAGGACAGATGAACAACATCCACAAGAGACAACTGTAACAGATGTGTGTTAGTCAGTGTGTCGGTGTCATTCACCAGAAGAACTCAACTGGACACAACAACAACAACAACAACAACAACAACATAAACTGTAGATATGGACACAAACATGTAAACATTCGACACAAGATGCAGCTTTAAGTGTAAAATGTGTGTAACTGTGTTTCTGAGGCGAGACGCAGGTCGAGTCAGTCTGAGAAAAAAACTAAAAAAACAACAAACTCTAGAGATTTGAACCAGATTCTGAACCAACTCAAAATGAACTGGACTGTCCAGCTGCAGCTCTGCGGCTCATCACTGCAGCTAATTAACAATAAAATATTTGACACTACTTGATACTTGAAAATCTATTCTTTTTCTTTATGTTGTTAGTTTTAGTTAACGATAACCTTGACACTTGAAAATGATGACTGTTGTGTAAATGCCACGTTGTGCGACTTTGTGCTTCCAGCCCAAACTCAGCATGGCCAAGTGTCGGAGGAACGTGGAGAACTTCCTGGACGCCTGCAGAAAGATCGGTGTACCTGAGGTAAGACATGACCCTGTATCCAATAACCTCCACCCTGTTAGTGCTCTGACAGCAGAGCCGTCGCCTCTCTGAACTGGGGGTCGTTTCTAAGTTTGTTCTTATGTCTCCAAAAATTCACCACAAAGAAATATTCTGGTGTGATACCAAACACCAGAGACTTTCTGACAGACTTTAAGTCCTGAACCAGTCAAATGTGACACACATATTTTTACCTTTATGGTAACTTACACTTTCCAATGATATCATAATCTAAATGTCCATAAATCTCCTTTGAAATCATAGAAAAAATGCTCCTTATACCTGCAGAACTTCCTTGAGAATCATCATGTTTTGAAGTTTTCTTCCGTATCACAGTGATGCAGTGACAGGTGTGTGTACATACAAGTGTGCACTGCAAACAGGAGCTGCTAAATGCTAATTCGGGCTAACTTTCAATGGCGCACATGTGGCAAAATGTGAAATAAGCAGAGAAAACAGGGCTCAGCGTCAGGGGAAGGATGCACTGAATCAACATAGTTTATAAGAGATGAATGGATGCAGCCTCTGTGTTGCTGAAGGACATTCTGCCAATCAGTGCAGGGATTTGAACCGGCAACCTCCAACCTGAAAACACACCCCCAGTTCATCAGAGTAACTCCCCTGAGATCCAGCTGTCATACTTTGTTGTCAGCATGGTTTCAGTCGACCAATTATTCTACAGAAGCGGTAGAAGAAGCTGTGAAGGTGTCCTGCAAAATAAAGACAGAAATCTTTACATTAATGTCAATGCAACATTTGCAGATTTAATTATCTTACAATTCATGTTGGTGAGTGAGATGGAAACTGAAACTGAGGATTTTTGCAGGACACTGATGACAACACTAAACTGTGAACCAGATCTGGGAGGAAGGCTGATGGTCCGACGTTTCTGTCATGTGATCTTGAATTAAATAATCCTGAAAAACGTCTTTTAAAATCAAAAAGAAAATCTGAACCGACTCCCTGGGAGAATAAGTCTATATCTATCCTTGAAATCAAAACTCGAGGAGCATTCAGCCTTTTCCCAGGTGTGGTTTCATTTTCCTACCTGCCTCCTTTTTGTTGTCATCGCTTTTAAACTCGGTCATTAATGTTGACATGTAACGCTGATTCATCACCGCTGTCATCGCTGCCTGTGGCTTCCAGCTTCCTCCATCATCAGGACGGCAGCTTCAGTCTGAAACACACTGGGTTTACTGTGTGCGTGTGTGTGTGGGTGTGCGTGTGCGTGTGCGTGTGTGTGTGTGTGAGTTTTTAAATGTGCTCGTGGCATCGTGCGGACCGCAAGGAGAACATGGTTTCTCGGTGCAGATGCAGCAACTGTCCTGAATCTGTCCAGTTACTGTTCACGTGCTCTGACTGGTGCATTCTGGGAAATACGGTTGCTGGAGAGAGAAAATCAAAGATAATCTGAAAGAAATAGTTCAACATTTCAGGAAATAGACTTTCACTTTGGAGTTAGGTGAGGTACTAGTCTTCCGGGATACAGCCAGCAGCTGGTTAGCTTAGCTTAGCATAAAGACTGGAAACAAAGGGAAACAGCTAGCATGGCTCTGTGCAAAGGAAACAAAATCCTCCTACCAGTGGGGACCGATCAAAGAGAGACAGGCAGTTAAGCTGGTGACTGCTGGTCATTTGGACCATAATAACTCATTTTCATTAATAACTTGAGTTCATATCATCTGTCTTTAAACCAGGAAGTGAATCAAGTTTTGAGTTTTTATATGAAGGTGAATGTTACAGAGTTGAAGGTGACATTTTTTACAAGTGGAATTTGTCAGTCAGGATTATTTGCTACTTTAAAAATGATCGTTTTATTATATGTGTTTGTGTTTTTATATTTTATCTGACCACGTTAATTATCATTTTAAAGTTTCTTTCTTCATATCTGCTCCGTTATTATTCTGGATCTGAGCTGTTTACCTGGTTGACCTTTGACCTCCATCTCTGCTGCTGCTTGCTGACTGTGTCCAGCCTCTGTTGCTTACTGGCCGGCTGCCTGTAGCCCTCACCGACCGCTTCTGCTAAAAGCTTCTCCGAGCTAACATGCTAACCGCTTCTATGCTAACGTGCTGCGCTGCTGGCTGACTGCACTGGCTTTCCCATCAGCCACCTCACCTCCTCATTATGGTCTGCTTCCTGAGAGAGAGAGAGAGAGTCAGAGTCTCTCCGTCCTCTCTCAGCAAGCAGCCCCTCTTGTTGCCATGGTAACCCCTTGCCTGCCTCCACCTCTGCCCCGCCTCACCCCACCAGCTCACACTCTTATCTGTGACCTTTGACCTCTGTGTCCATCGGGTAACCTCCTGCCTTTTCTTTCTTTCTCTTTTTACTTTCCGGCTGGATCGCACCACATCTTCCTCTTTCTCCTCCTCCTCTTCCTCTTCCACTTCCTCCTCCTCCTCCTCCTCTTCCTTCTCTTCCTCCTCCTCTTACCTCCTTTCATGTTCTTCTTTTTCTCTCACACCTGTTTCTTCTTTCTCTCTTTTTCCCTCTTTCCTCCTTCATCTACTTCCACCTCTATTGTTTTTCTCTCGTCCTTCATTTGTTTTTTAACATCCTCTGTTTCGTCCTCACTTCCAATCTCCTCCTTTTCTCCTCCTCTTCCGTCTCCTGGTTTTTGGTTCTTCTTTGTCTTTTGTGGAGAATATTTCACTCATCCCTTCTTTTTCTTTCATCCTCCTTTCTCTTTTTTTTGGATGTAAACGCTTCCTCCTCCCTTCTTTTCTCTCTCCTTCTTTTCCACATCCACCTGTTTTCTCGTTTTTATTCTTCTTTCTCTGTTGTTTCCTTCTCCCCATCATCTGCTTTTTCTTCACCTCCTCCTTCTCCTGGTTTTTCATACTTCTTCATCTTCCTTCTGGGACAATATTTCTCTCATCCCTTGTTCTTTTCTTTCACCCTTTTTCTTTACCTCCAACTGTCCCTCCATCTTTTACTTATCCCCTTGTTTCCTCCTTGTTTCCTTCTTGTTTCCTCCCTGTTTCCTCCTCCTTCATCTTTGTTCCATCTTCATTTCCTTTTTCCCCTCATCCTTCTTTTCTTTTGATCTTTCTCTCTTGTTTCCGTCTCACCATCATCGTGTTTCTTCTTCACCTCCGATCTCCTCCATCTCTCCTCCTCTTCCTCCTGTTTTTTCCTGCTTTTTCTCTTTCTCCTCCTCTCCTCCCCTCTTCACCTCTTCTTCCATCCTCTTCCTGTTTATTCTTCCCCTCTTGCTTGAACTTTTTTTTCTTTATCTCCATCCTTCCTCTCTCCTCTTTCTCATCTCCGTTTCCTTCACCTCCTTCCTCTTCATTCTTTTTTTTCCCTTCTTCTTCTTCTTGCCTCCTTCTCTCACCATTATCTTTTTTGAACTTTTTTAAACTCTTGCACTTCTTTTCCTCCAACTTTCCTCCCTCCTTATTGTTCATCTGTTTTCGAACTGTTTTTTCTCTTATCTTCTCTCATCTCCTTCCTGCCTTTGTTTCCTGCTCTTTCACTTCACTCCCTCCTTTATTCTCTTCCTCCCTCCCTCCTTTTCTCTTCCCTTGCTTCCTCTCTTCCCTCCCTCGTTTCATTCCCACCATCTCCCCTTCTTTTATTGCATTTATTCCTCCTTCCCTTCCTTCATGTATTTCCTCCTCCCTTTCTAATTGGGGTGCCAGTCTTCCCTCTGTTCGCCCTACGACATCATCCAGTGCCGCCTGCAGCCAGTTCGCGCCACGCTTCGGGCGCTGGTTGCCTTGGATACAAGATCTCTGGACAGGAAGCGGGAAGGGCCGGTCTCGACTCCAAACCCCGCCTCCTCCGGGGTGTCAGAGACTCCCTCGTTGGTTTCTGTCACCACTCAAACCCCGCCCCCCGCCTGGCAAATCTGGGACATTGTCGGCTCAAGCTTGGTTCACATCCTCTGCCTAGTTCTGCTCTTTGTGGCCTATAGCTGGAGCGAGCTGACGTAACCGTGACAACTGCCTCCTGTCAGTCACCTGCTAGCCCCACCCTTGTTCTGCGCAGGCTCCTCCTCCTTACTTCTGCTGCATTTATGTCACATGGGAATAATCATGCTCAAAATGAAACATGAGTTGCTGTAATGATCCGTCCATGAAAAATCCACAGTCGTCGTTCTGTGTCAAAATGATTCTTAAAGTTTATCTGAAGCTGAACTGTGAGTTAAATCAATTGCGTGTTTTCTAAAGTTAGTGTTTTTCTATGGAAATCCCTCTTCACTGACAAGATCGTTTTTATGCTTTGATGAGGTGGAAAAGAAACAGAGTTAGTGAATAAACCTTGATGAACATGAATCATGAGACTAAAATATGAAACAAACAGAACTGTCAGATTTCCATAACGTTTTCCCATAGACTGTAAATAAAGATGGACGTAGTCTCCATGACATCACCCACAGGTTTCTGAAGAGCGGTTTTGAAGCTCAGAGTGAGCTGCTCCACCGTTGCCATCTTGGCAGTGCCTGACTCCGCCCCCTAACTCCCAGCTAATCTAAAAATGAGCAAAGAGGAGGGGAGTGTGTGGAGCTGAGACTTTGGTGCATACGCTCACCTGCCTGTCACTCAGAGAGGCCACGCCCTCAATTCTTCATAACTTTAGTCCTTAATAAAATGTAAACAGGTGAGTTATATAAACAGGTGTCATGAAGGAGGAAATTAGCTCTAGAGACCAAAACTGTTTTTGTACCAGGTTGTAAACATGTTGATTTCTGCTGTAAAGTTGGACATTTTAACATGGGAGTCTACGGGGACTGACTCACTGTTGGAGCCAGACTCTAGTGGTTATTAGAGGAACTGCAGGTTTTGGTTCTTCCGTGTTGGCTTCATGTTTCAGCCCCTGAGGTTACTGCCTGTCTTTTCCACCTGGTTTTCCGTTGTTTGAGCTTCGACTGGATCTTTTAATGACCTCATCTTCTTCTACTCATATTCACTCGACATGAGTGGATGGAAATGGGCTAAATTTTGCACTAGATTTGGATGGAAATGCAGCTACAGTTT